GAGCGAAATGAAGGGAAATTCTGCAGTGGAATGAGAGCTCTACAGCTAGGTCCTCGCATCTGCCATTTGTCCTTTGAAACTGCATTGTAATCCGGGCAGGATAAATCAGACGGAGAGACGAGCAGCCTCCTGGCCGGATTTCTCCGCCCGAATTTACTTTCCAGATTTCTTTTCTTTGCTCTCCTGCTTCTTGGCTGGCCCAGGGATGACTTCCACGCTGCAGCAACCCTGTCGGGTGCCCTGGCTGCTATGGGCCGTCCTGCTGGTCAGCACTACGGCTGGTGAGTAGCCCTGGGTGGCGCGTCCGGGCTCCTATCCCAGCGGGTGGCCAGGGAGGGAGCCTACAGAGGCCCAGGCCTGTGCTCGCCCTTCGCAATGTGTGCGCTCGGTTCCTGGTGGAGGAACCTGCCAGGGAAATCACCTTCAGTGTTTTCCTGTAGTTTCCCGTCCCCACTACTGTATTCCCTGACCCCTCCCCCACGGAGGGGGGGGGGAAAGACATGTTGGGTGTGGTATCTTGACATTTTTAGCTGTGAGGTAATGCAAGGATTAAAAATAATATTTTAATCACTAGTGAACTGTATCTATTAGAAGATTTTAGAGACAGCTGGTAGTTTTGTTTTGTTTTTTTATGTAAAGAAGCAGATTTGGTTTACAATAAAAAGAACTAAACACACACTTGATTGACCCTTATTTTTACATTTAGATCACTCCTTTGGGAATCCACGTTACTTTTCGTTATTTAAAAATGTTAGCTGATGAATAGAGTAAACGTTGAGGAAGCTGGAGTGTGAGATCTTGATACGTTGTATAATACTGTTGCTTGCTATCATCATTAATATTGTTTTGCTCCCAAGAATCTTAAACTATTCTCTGTCTCTTCATCCTGGACATTTGTACTTTGTATGCTTTGGGAATTACTGCTAGGCACTCAAATGTTTTGATAACTTTACTATTAGTCATCTGGCGTCTGTTGGCTTTCCTGTCATTGAGACAACTTTGACCTCCCATCAGACTTCTAGGAGATTTGACTCCTGAAAGTTCTTTGACATTTACTAACGTGTGAAAGGAAATGGGTACTCCCCTTTCCTTTGGCCATTTCATTTCCTTTTTAATTCTCAGTCGCCTTGAGAAAAAAAAAAAAAAAACTCATTTTCTCATTGCAGTTATTTTCAAGCAACAATTTCGTGATTTGCTTTTAGAAAATTTCAGGAATGAATGCTTAAATTAGTCGCATGAAGTATGCATTTAAAAATGAGTAGACTAATGTTTTAAAAGTACTTTTCACGTTCAATAAAGTTTTCATTGCTATATTAGACACACAGATTACTTAATTTGCATTTTAAATGTGTACTGGGAAAATACAGCAAATTTGAATTTTCCTTTTGTGAATTTGATACTATTATCTATTGTTGATTAATATTTAGTATCTTATATTTTTGGTTGTGAGCCTAGCCTTTAACGACTGAGCCATCTCTCCAGTCCATTTTATCTAATATTTTAATAATAAATCTATGTAGTTAAAAATCATTGGAAGATATGATTTGATTACATCTTAAAACTTGATGTTTTATTATTTGGTATTTCAATTCTTTTTGAAGCAAGACTGAATGGTTTTTCTCTAAATTTCTTTGTTAGCTGTTTAATTTCTCTAGCCACAAGTCATGTGGTTCCTGTAAAATATGAAAAGAGTAAGAATAGCCTTGACACGTAAGCAGCATTCTGCAAGAAGAAATACAAGAATATTTTGTTTTTTAAATTTTTTTTTTACCTTTTTAGACTGCAAGTTCTTCTTTAGAGTATTGTGCTTATCATTTTGTGACCAGAACTGATTAAAAAAAATCAAAGAAAAATAACATTGATTTCAAAATAATTTCTATTTGGTAAATGAATTTTGTCCTCTTTTAAAAAGGGTTATATTTAAAGAATCTTTGTATAAAAGTGATTTTAGTCTGTGTGTGTGTGTGTGTGTGTGTGTGTGTGTGTGTGTATTATAGTCCCAGATGATGGCATTTTTGAAGCTGGATTTCAGAGGTGTAATAGCTGGTGTTTACTGAGTTCTTGCTGTGCATCAGCAAATATTAAAAGAGCTTTGCATATATTTTTTACCCTCTGATCTTCCTGACAATTCTGTATCCTAGGTTTCCATTATTATTTCCCTTTTTTCAGAGAGAGAGAGAGAGAATTAAGTACAGAATTTTAAGTAACTCATCACACAGTAAATTGAGGAGCCAGGATTATAGCCTGCATCCTTCCCTGCCTCCTCAGTGCTAACAGCAGTGGTGGCAGCAGGGCCAGCAACAATTTCCCCTCCCTGGAATTGGAGCATGAGATTTGAAAGGAAGCTTGGACGTTTATAAAGTAATGGTACAGGTACTGATCATGCACTGCTGTGGTTCCGAATGTGTCAAAACTTTGTCTAACAGGTGGATCTCTGTGAGTTGGAGGTCAGCCTGGTCTACCTAGTGAGCTCTAGCCAGGGCTACATAGAGAAACCTTATCACAGAAAAAACAAAACAAAAATCAACCAAACAAACAAAAACCAACTTTGCCTGACAGTGGATTGGGTAGTGGTGAAGCTCCATTAAGTACCAAGTGACTAGGAAGTATCTTTGTAGATTTGGTATATATTGATGAAGCTATGTAACTTGTAGGTGCAATTTACGTAGTCCAATAGGAAAAATATTGCAAGACTAATAGATATTATGTCATTCTTTGGGATCTTGGATAAATCATCCTTGTTTATGGTGTTGTTTTGAGGGAGTGTGTCCTGCCACTCTGTGTAGTCTAGGTTGAATGCAAGCTCTTGGCAATACTCCTGCCTCAGCTTCCCAAGTGTTGGGATTACAGGTTGGAGCCACCAAGTCTGGTATACTAGATAAATAATTTCTTTTGAATCCCCTTTTTTACTCTGATTAATTCTTGGACTCCTTAATTGTAAGAATATTGGTATGCAAAAATGTACTTGCTTAATTTTTTTTTTTTTTTTTTTTGAGACAAGGTTTCTCTGTGGCTTTGGAGGCTGTCTTGGAACTAGCTCTTGTAGACCAGGCTGGTCTCGAACTAACAGAGATCCACCTGCCTCTGCCTCCCGAGTGCTGGGATTAAAGGTGTACGCCACCAACACCCTGCTCTTTTTCCTTTTGAATGGGCTTTTGCATGAAAATCATACAAGCTTTGCTTTCTACATCCTGTGATGTTGTGTTGGTGTTGTCTGTGCAATGTAAGATGTCTACTTTACAGGGCTAACCCTTTCCTGCCTAAAAGGTTTTTCCTTTCCTTTCTTTTGGTTCTGGAGATCAAGAGCCCTCTGCCACTGAGATGCAACCTTAGCTGAAGGCCAGCTTTTTTTTTTTTTTAAACATTAGAGAAGAATTTGAATATTGGTTTCTGATGGGTAAGTTCTAGGTACTACATGAAGTTGGATCAAATGAGTTAATTCTATTATTGGCCACACCACTTATTTTGGCACCTACTCATGCAACTTTGCTGTTGAATATCAATTTTGTGTATTGTCTTCTATGATTGTATACACAATACAGAATTCAGCCAGGCAGTCTCAGTGGGGTTCGCGCTTTTAATCCTGGCACTCAGGAGGCATTGAGGCAGGCAGATCTCTGAGTTACAGGATAGCCAGGGCTACACAGAAAAATCCTGTCTTGAAAAATCTAAATAAATAAATAAGTAAATAAATAAATAAATATAAAAAACTTTTATAATGTTAAGGATTAGATTCAGGGCTTCCTGTGTACCAGGCAGATATGCTTATCACTGAGCTATATGCCCAAGCCTCTTATTTGGAGATTGCTTTGTAATCTGCCATATTGCTATGCATATCGAGGATGTTTAAGAAATAATGAATGAATTATAAAAAGGAATTGGAGGACTGGCGAGATGGCTTAGAGGTTGTGAGCATTTGCTGTTCTTGCTGAGAATTTGGTTTTGTTTCCAGCACCCACCCAAATGGTAGCTCAAAACCATCTATCACTCCAGTTCCAGGAGATCTGACCTCATTATGGTCTTTGCAGGTAACAGGCCTACATATGCATGGTACACTTCATGTTCATAGAAGCAAAATATTTGTACACATAAAATCAATCTTTAAAACAAATGGAAAGGAATTGGAACTTACTTTGTTTTAGCTTGCATATGGAGGTTCAATGACAACTTTATGGAGTCATTTTTCTCTTTCTACCTTTATGTGGGTTTTGGGGACTGAGTTCTAGTTGTCAGGCTCATTGACAAGTCCCCCCCCCTCCGTTTTTTTTCCTTTGTTTTTCAAGACAGGGTTTCTTTGTGTAACAGCTCTGACTGTGTTGAATCTCACTCTGTAGACCATGAAGGTATCTAACTTACTAAGATCTGCCTGCCTCTGCCTCCCAAGTGTTGTAATTAAAGGTGTGTGCCACCACCGCCAGGCCCCAGTAAGCCACCTTATTAATAGCTGACTTTTTCTTGGTTTTAATAATGATACATTATTTAGTGACAAAGACTTTCTTCGCTCAGTCTTCTATGTTAGTTTAATTGGTTATTTATTTATTTATTTATTTACTGTGGTTCTGGGGATCAAACCAGGCTCTTGAGTGTGACAGGGAAGCACTCTTGGGCTGCATTGTCAGCCTTGTGTATTTTTATGTTGGGCATTTTATTTTCTCTCTACTTCTCCCCAGACCAAAACTTGTTAGTAGAAAGAAATATGTGTGTGTTTTAAAAATTTCTTTTAATTTAGTTAGCATACAAAGTAATTGATGGGGGAGGTTCTTCTGTGTATATGTTTGTCTTATTGGTTGATAAAGTACTGTTGGGCAATAGGGAAGCAAGTTAGGTGGGACTAGGAGAGAAGGAGGGTTCTGGGAAATGTAGGAGTGAGACAGAGCTACCATGAGATCCCAGCAAGAGAAGATGCTTGCTGCCAGCGTCCCCTATAAGATAAGTCTTTATTAAAATATATAGATTAATACTTATGGTTGATAATTAAAACTGAGCTAGCAAGTAAGAAATCCTAGTCATTGGCCAGCAGCATTGTACCTAATATAAGTCTCTGTGTGTTATTTTGGGCACTCATGTGGTGGCGGGGCTTGGGTGACTGGCGGAAAGATTTATCGTTACAAGCAATGGCCTTCATTATGGCACTGTCAGACATGTATTTATGTAAGTGGCTTTTTTGTTTTAAACACTTGCTTGTTTATTTTGTGTATGTATACATGTGAGTATGGGTGCACAAGTAGACATCAGAGGACATCTTTTCAGGGGTCTCTCCTCTTACCTTGTTTTTGAGAGA